ATTTCCGATACAGAGACTCACGCGCTGGAGATAAAAGATGTTTTTTTTCTGCACAACGTTGCCATTGCTGCTCGCTTTGAAATCCTTGAGTTTGTTAATCAAAAATTCGTCAAAGTTTTAAAAAATAGGAAATCGATCATAAAACAAATTTCAAATTTCAAATTTGGTCTTCCACATGCTCATATTCGTTGGAGGATTACGTTATTCAAAATTCGATGACTCTATGTACCGTTGCACTGTTTTTTATCACAATACGAGAAATATACATACATTTATGCAGATTTTTCATTATTTAATTTCTTCAAATATAATGCAGGACTCTAACATTTTGTGGCAACAGTTTGAAAAGTGAACCGACATTTATGACTCCGACGCAAAATGCCAAAACGAAACTAATAGTCCTTCGGGATTCAAATCCCTTTGGACTAAAAAAAAAAAAAAAAAAAAAAAAAAAAAAAAAAAGAAAAGAAAAAAAAAGCGTACCATGAAGGAGTTATCCGAATGGGACGAAAATCGTTAGAAGTGATGCTCATGTACAGAAAAACAAATGATTACAGTTTGAGAAAAAATTGGATGATTTATTGAAGTGACAGAGCTTCACAAAGTGAAAATGTCAGTAACGCGTTTGTCCAGCTCTGGCCCTTGTGCAACCAGTTATTTGGCTTGTCATCGATTGATAGAGGTTGCGGATGTCCTCCTGAGGGATATCGTACCAAATCCTGTCCAAATGGCGCCTTAGATCGTCAACATCCCGAGCTGGAGGGCCCTGCCCATAATGCTCCAAACGTGCTCAATAGGAGAGAGATCCGGCGACCTTGCTAGCCAAGGTAATGCTCGGCAAGCACTAAAAGGCAAGCAGTAGAAACATGTGCAGTGTGGAAGCGGGCATTCTCTCGCTGAAATGTAAGCCCAGGGTGGCGTGACATGAAGGGCAACACAATGGGCCTTAGAACTTCGTCGGCGTATTGCTGTGCTGTAAGGTTGCGACGGATGACAAGCAAAGGGATCCTACTATGAAATGAAATGGCACTCCAGACCATCACTCCTGGTTGTCGGCCTGTCTGCCGCAGGACAGTCGGGTTGGTATCACACCGCCGTCCGGGGAGTCTCCAGACTCGCCTTGTCTGGTCATCGGGGCTCAGTTCAAAGAGGGACTCATCACTGAAGACTATTCTACTCCAGTCAGTGACATTCCAGTGCGAATGAGCCCGACACCACTGCAAACGGGCTTGACGTTGTACAGAGGTCAATGGTAGTCGGCGAAAGGGGCGCCGTGACCTCAGCCCCCTTTCTGTGAGCCGTCTATGAATGGTCCTTGCAGACACTGAAGCACTAGTTGCACGTACAATCGATGATAATGATGCATATGGGGCTGTAAATGCCGCTCTGGCGATTGCTCGGTCTTCACGTTCTGTCGTTTCTCTAGGCCTACCTCTTCCTTCTTGACACTATGTGCGGCCATAGTTCAGCCATTCCTGCCAACATCGTCTAATAGTGGCGTCGCTCCTCAAATGTCGAGCTTTTCGCCGATAAGACCAACCGGCTTCTTTGAGCCCGATTACACGATCTCTCTCAAATTCTGACATCTATGCATATCGTTCGCGCATCTGTATGCGAGGCATAGTTACTGTCTACCAGAGTACACGGAATGAAATTCGCAAAGAATCGTAATTTCTCCTCTTAAATATCCTGCCAGTTGCGCAAATCAGATGCTCTGTAGCTACAACCGTTCATTCATTAGCAGCCAAAATGTAAAATTTTGCATTTTCAGTCGAAACCTGTATGCATATCAATTTGTGTCCAATTTGATTTATATCTTCTCGGTGCGTCGTGGTGCGTCCCCTCCCCTTTTTTTTTCCTAAGAGTGTATATTAAATCCTTTAATGGAAAGAATAAACTAAAATTCTTTCAGATATTAACAATTTGTTTAGTCTGCCTCAAACTAAAATGCATTAATTTAGTAATAATAAATATGCAGTAAGATACTTGGGCGTGTAGAATATTTCTATATCTTCCAAAACCCATATTTAAATTAAAAGGCTTCGCTGCAAGTCAAGAAAAACGGCCCTAAGCAAATGATTTCTAGCTCTTTTAGTATTTGTAACAAGGAATTATTAACGACAGAAACTCATCGAAGTATTATATAAATGGGAAATCCCGCTAATTGATTTCTGAAGATCCAAGTAATAAAATGATGGAAGTTGATAAAAAGTTTTCGGCTTCCATCTTCTGATGAGTTAAAAATAGGTCACAAATTTATTTATGTCGAATTTATTAGAGCTTTGTCAATCAAGTTTATTGATCCACGATAAAAGCAATTAAAGTATTATATTTAAAGCGTCGCTTTTACCTATTTTTGTTTTGACATACTTCTAAATTAGCATCAAAATATTCAAATTAGTAATAATAATAATTAGTATTAATAATTCAAATTAGTAATTCAAATTAATAAATAAGCAAATTAATAATGAGTTGAATATTTTTAATTAGCTCATAAATCCAAATTTTAATTTAGTCATTTTTTAGTTAATTCTTTTAGAATACCCAGCTGTTTCAATTCGTCAACTAATTAACTGAATTTGGAATCAAAGTTTTAATATATATAAAATGCCCCAAAAATCTTCACATATTTTGAAAAATAATGGAAATTTAGAAAAAAAAAAACTAAAACATGAAAATTTATGTTATTTTAAAGTAAGGGCCAGAAAGCATTAAGTGATATTTACTAGCCTAACGCAAAACGTAAATGTCTGTACACAAGCAAAAGAGATAATTGCTTCTAAAACATAATCTCCAGCGTTTGAAATGTTAATTTCTGAACTATATCGATAACTGAAAGGTTTTACAAGTTCATATACATTACTAATTCTTCTATTAGCAATACAAATTCACTATTTTTTCTACCTTAATGAAACTAAAAGAATGTAGTATTTTTAGGTCGTAAGAACAAGCTGTCTATAGTGATGTTCCTCCATAATTAGTTCAGTAAATGGAAAACTACCGACAAAATAATCACGTACAATTATTACAATAGCCATTTTTATCTTTCTTTTTTAAATACACAGATCTATGTCTGAAATACTTATCCTAGTACCAGTAAGACGCGTTTCGGAAATATATTTCATGTCAGCAAAATATTAATTTTGAAGACATCATAAATAGATCACTTTATCAATGACATGGTAATCGATATGTATAAAAAGATTCTCTCAGCTTTTTCAAACAACTGACATATGAGTAAACACGAAGAAAAAACTTGAAATAGGGAAGAAAAGTTAAAAAATGGCCTCAAGTAAATTTCTTTAAATTCGAAAATAATATTAACTTTCTAAATTTATGCTTGCTTTTTTGTTCTCTTTTGCTTTATTTAATGCCCAAAAATAAACAAGATTTTAACTTCAGGTAAATATCAACTACCAAGCATTGATTCATGTCGTGTTCAATTTCAATGCGAAATAATTTCTCTTTAAAAAAGGGAGATAGCACTTTTTAATGCCCTCGAGAAAAATGAAATTGAAAATTTCCTTACAGCAACAAAATAGGATTCAAATTTATTACTTGGATCACAAAAACTCTCAAAAAAAGGGAAGCTCATTTAGATTAAGCAAAAGAAATTCCAAATGCCAGAGAAGAATAATATGCAAATAGATAAGTGAATAAATGAAAGCTTCGTTGTTGATGCATTCTGCATCCCACACTGTTGCAAGATGTAATCAAATTTGTTGCATAAGTCTTGGTATTTGGTATTTTTATTCTCTAATACAAGATAGAGCAGATTAGTTTCCGTTTTGTGTAGCTAATTTAAATAAAATTCAGAGCACATTTTCGAAAGCAGCATTATACGACTGAAAAGAAATACGCTTATTTTTGATCTGATAAGACATTTTCATTTTGTATTTCACTGATGAATACTGAGATACGTATTAAAAGGAAATTTTGTAAATAGAAAACTTTTATATCAACAATTTCGGTAACAAAGAAGGAAAATAGTTTATCATGTTTGCCAAAATATTATCTTGAAATTTTGTTTGAAATGCCAAACTGCTGAGATTTGGTAAAATTCAGAATGTAATTATTTTTTTATAAAGCAAATATGTGCCTATTTTTTTATCTCTAACTTATATGAGTATTCTTTTGCACAAAACTTTTCAATTTTAAGTATATTTTACATAAAGTAGTGAAGTACATGCATATTGAGGAAAAGGTCATATGTTCACATTTCAAACATACAGTATATATAAGCTATTTTCTCCTTCTTTTCTGCATGTTTTCGTGGTGTAACGGTAGCATACCGAGGCGTATTAGAGAGGTCCAAGTTCGAGTCCCGAAGAGGGCATTGCTCATTTTTCATGTCTCCCCACATCAAGAAAACCTAATGAGTCTACAATGAACTTCTAGTGACGATATTAAGGTGATAAGAATAGCTAAGAGAAACTGGAGTCGAATGCGGGTCAGCTTCTCTTAAAGACAGTTTCAAGAATGTATTACTTCTCATAACCGAATAGTCCTCGTATGTATGTATAGCTTAGTAAATTAATCAGCCAAACACTGCAGAGAACCAGACAACTTTCAGATTTCAATAGTCAAAAATTACCTTCTTTTTCGCCTTGCTTAAGCTATTCTTAGTGATTAAATGATTCTGAATGATCATTCTGATTTTTATTTCTGACATTTTTGCATCCATTTTGAAATTAGCCTTTTTTCTGGTTTTAAGAATGGCAGTTGGTTGTATCACTTTCAACCCAAATCTCTCAGAATTTCAAAACATATTTCAGAAAAAAATCTTATTTACGTAATCAGAGAAGCAAAAAGGCATTTTTGAGCATGGTAAATACAATAATACATAAGTCCGTATGTTTAGTTATTAATTTTTTTACCATATGATAAAAGCTTTACGAACATCTTATTTAAAAATATATGTAGCCGATCAATCATTATTAATTTTGATTAAAATTATTATTTTGAAATATCATTCGATCCTTAAAATTGTAACCTTTCAGGTTTCTGCTAGTCAAGTGCAACCAATGTCTGCCGCCAGAATAGACCGCATGGACCATGGACCTACCTACACAACAGATGATAAAGGATCTAAAGAGCAAGGCAAAGGAATGTCAGTGCCCCTCAAGCTGGAACTAGATGCCGCATTAGGGGTGAGTATTACAAAAATAGATTTTAATTTTTAAGAATTTAACAAGCATTCCAGCATCTTGCTCTTTTTCTACGAGATGGTATTCAAGTGCAACTAAAAATTATACTGAATTATTTTTGCACTATAAATAACTCTTTGCCTCTAATTATATTATTATGTGCAAGCCTCAAACACACACGTTTTCACCAAAAAATTTCAGAATATCTAACATTCTTGGTGATAAATGTGATTCTTTTGTATTTTGTCAAGTACTGGTAGTAAATTGATAGATTATGTGTTTTCTTGTTGTGTACGACTTCTTGTTAAGTATTAGTTTCTCAGAGTGAATGACAAGATTATGAGGTCTTTATGAATACATATTGTCTCAAATAGACTGAAAACGCTTTTATTAATTCACCTATTCAAAACGAGTATTTAAAGTATAGAGGCTCGTATTTTTAGGTAACATAAACTTACAAGCCATAAAACGACTGTATGAGGAATTATCTTGAGGTCTTATACATCAGAAACAGTAAGAAGAATGTAAACAGCCCTTTATTCAATCACACATAGGTGAAAAGATGGTCCCACTTGGGCTTACATAAAGCTAAAGCTTCTCCCTTAACTTAAACAAGTAATGTTGAACTTAAATTAAAATGTAATTAAACTAGCCCAACGGCTCACAGAATAATTCAACGCGCAGAAAGGCTCTGACTCGCAGAAGCCGGCGGAAACAATCCTAATGGCTAGAAACACTCAACGCCACAAAATCAAATCGTTAGTAATTCAAAGTAACAACGTGGCCTTCCAGCAGGCATAACACGCTCTAAAATTACCAGGCCCAGCATCATTATGCTAGCAGTTAATCTTATTTCTTATATGGTAGCTTACAAACAACATGAGTTTTGTGTTTACTTTTCCATTTGGTTTTATGAGTTCCCTATGAACATTACGATTTCATTACTCTTCCATGCTTCCGATAGGAATAAACTTCTGATTTATTTCAAAAATATCTTCCATCTGCGTGAGTTTCAGATTTAAAAAGTACAGGTGGAAAAGACTAGTAATTAAAAGTCAGGTGCTACAAACTGCAAAATAAAAGATACATGTTACATCAATTAAATTTTTCAAAGTACGTTATTTATTGCCAAGAACGTACGTGATCTGCTTCTGAATTTCCTTAAAATGGGCAGAAATTAGATATTATCCTGGCAACCTTAAACTCTCTGAATGAACTTGTTCTTTAAGCATCATTTTCCCGCACAAATATTTAAGCTTTCGAATTATAATAATTATGTTATATAGGTGAGTTCTTTAGCCGAAGTGTACAAGACATGGCATTAGAACAGCTTTTTATCAAATAGATTTATTTTACTTTTTACACGGTAAGACTTTACAGTATGCAAGAGATTTTAAACAGTGAAATTACGCATCGTAATGCTACATATAACATTAATATGTTAAAAGAGATCACATACGTAATAAAAATGAAAAGGCGGAGAAGCAGAGAAGCAAGTGAAATAAGGGCTATACCGTTTCTCATTCATGACCTCACCGAAAAATCGATATTGCCTCCTTAAAGGCTTTTTTAACGTAGTGACACTAAAATTAAAACTATTTAAAATTATTTCATACATTATAAAATTATAAATGAATAATTTAACTGTTATGAAAAAGAATAGAAAAGCTTAAAAGCATGTAAAAGAATCGATTTATTTAATACGTTTTCCCTTTGATTACTGCTGCTATTAGAAGCTTTAATGAAAATGCATGAATTTCATGAATTTAATAAATTTCATGAATTTTGTGTTGGTTTTACACTAAACTTTTGTCATCACTTTTTAGACTATCTTGAAGGATCCGAAGAACAAAAAGGCTGAAGTCAACTGTGTTGCAGAGACCAGGAAAGCTAGTCAAGTCATTTCTCAAGATCCAAAGATGGTAAGATAAGACTTTGAAATTTCATTATTAGAAGAAAACAATTCTAAAGTTTTCAATAAAGCTCTGCTTTAATTGTGTCATAAATGATCCCAAATTAGTTTTATGATACCATATTTTAGCTTCATCTATAGAAGAAAAAAACTAAATACACCGCTGGAATTTTTTCTCGTAATTTCAGCCAAGGAGTTTCTTTTATGAACGAAAAAAAATGGATTTTTATGTAGAAAGTCCATCGTTAAAGCCGTTCAGTCTATTGAATATTTATAACCGTAAAAATAAAAAATAACTCCCAATAAATGAGTGGGAAAGATTTCATTAGAGAGCAATTTTTAAATTTCGTAGAACAATAATAAATTTTTTCAACTGTTTACTGTTTTAGAGATTACTAATGGTTCTTTCATAGCGAATTCAGAAAGTAAATGTATAAGAACTTGAGTGTAATTTAATTCACGTAAATCAAATGTAGCAGGAATTTCAGAACCAGCAGCCTGCTAGAAAATTACCTCAAAACTTATATATGTACTACATTCAATTTTATAAATGTTTCGATTTATTCAAAAGTTCTATTTTTATGCTTTGTTTGGAGCAAAATAGTAATGTAAGAAATATGAATAAATGTTTTTGACCGTACACAGACAGAAAGAATACAAAAGACAAGCAGACCGAAGAACTCTGTTATTTAAAAACATTAATATTTATTCAGATACGCATGAGGATTTGCACAAAAACTCATCATTCTTCATTATCCTACCGTAATGGAAATAGAAACAGGATTTACCCAAAATGAACTTTTCTTTTTATAGAACAAAGGGAAGTAGGTGACTTGACGGAATTAATATCATTTAGAGAATAAATATGAAACGGCCTAAAAAAAGAAACGATTAGCACAGTAAATTTCCTTGTTTTGTGCTAAAAATTAGTTATGGAAAATTAAGCAGAGAATGCCTTCGAATGGGGTAAAAAATAGTTTATTTGAATTAATATTTCCATTTCATTGCACGTTTAAATTAGAGATGAAACTTTCAAAGAAACATGTCATTTTGAAGCTTAAAATGAAAAAGAAAAAAAAAAAAAAAAACTGGTTTCAGGGAAAAGGTTTGAGCGTTTCAAGGGACATTAATACGGGCCTTTCGAAATAACTCTATTAAACACATGTCTCAACACAATTTTTGTTCATCTAACGCAGTGAACCGCAACTGATTTGATTACTCTTTGTTGAGCACCATTTACCTTACAGAAAATTAACTGGACTTATTATTATTACTGTTATTATAATTATGAAAAGTATAATATAGTTACAGGTACAAGTAAAAGTATAGGTGACACCAGCGATGTACCATGGTTCATCTGATAATGCGATTCCATACTAACTAACTAACTATATATATATGTGTGTGTGTGTCATATTTTGGCAGTTGGGCAAATGAATGAAGATTGGCATCAAAATCCGGACACTGTTGTGGCTGGGTGGCTTACAGCAGAATCAGGACATAGAATAATTTAACTTTAATTGCACATCTTTATTCAATTCAAATGGCAAATCGTATCCTTTTAGATTCTCCAAGATTACATATCCGATAATAATTTAAACTAAATAGGATTAAATTTACTGCGTCATATTGTTCAAACAAAGTAAGCCAGTTGGGAAGAGAGGCAGCAAAGGTTTTATAGCAGTAGAAAGGAGAAAGCGGTTTGACGAAAATTTCCATTCCATTTACCTCTGTTATACTGAGCCTAGCGTGCGTGAATTTGCAGGCTTTTTGCCAGTTGTCATCAAATATGGGATCCTGGAAGTATATAAATCAATATAGGTGTCACAGAGACAACATGTGAAGCAATAAAGGGAGAGGTGGCCCTTTGCCACTTTAGAGTTTTACATAGTAGGGTGGTGTAACATAAAAACATAAAAACATAAAAAGCAGATACAAAATGAGTATACAATAAAGTTGCTAAAGATGATTTCAAATAGACATCAGGTGAGAATGCCGATTAATGAATCTTGGTTAGATTCTGGCGAAAAATGGCGCGAACTCTACATTTAGAGTAGCAGTTACATAATCTGGTCTAGGGGAAAGATTCTGAAATTGCTGAAAGTTAATTAGAGGTTGCCTGTTCGCGTAGAGCAAAGCCATCGTATTTTTTTATATTTTACATATGTATGTGATATTTTAGCAGTCATGGACATGAATGACGAGGCTTGGCATCAAAGTCCGGGCATTGCTGTAGCTGAGTGTTAAGGCAGCAGAATGATGACGCAGAAATATTTTGCTCTTAATTGCATATCTTTATTCAATTCCAATGGCAGATAATCTTTCTTTTAGATGAAATTCTCCTAATTGCATATCAGTGTTTCAAACTAAATACGATGAAATCTACGCTTTTGATGTCATAACTATTCTAACAAAGGGAAGAAAGATTAGAAGCATAGCAGCACAGATCTTACTAGCAGAGGGAGAGAGGAGCTTCTAACGCAAAATGGCGCGATTTCTCTATTTATAGAAGCGGTTACGTAATAAGCTCGAATGTTCTGGAAAGTACTGGTCTAGAGGGAAGATCCTGAATTGCAGAAAGTTAATTAAAGGTTGCTGGTTCACATAGAGCAAAGCCGTCCTATTTTTTATATTTTACATATATATAAAACTTCAAGATTTATTAGAATTTACAAGAAATGTTGAGGAAATGGGCAACTGAAGCTCCCAAATGATCTAGAGTTTACCTATTATGGTACATTGCGCAATCCCACCGTACGTCCCGCATCCAGTATTTATAAATAATGATTTAGGGCATACAGAAACTAATATCAATACAATTCGAAATTTACAAACTAAATTGAATAGTTATATTTTATTATAATTAGTATATATATAATATATACTAATTATAATATATTAATATATAATTAGTATATATATTATAATTAGTATACAGATAAACATAATGGGATAACTATAATAAGTACTGGGAACACAGTGTTATAATGAACTGTAATAATACTACTAAAGAGATAAGTGTTCATGGGGATATTTCAGTTATAAAAAGTTATTACAGTTTATAAACTTCACAGGTGGTGTCATTCTGCACATATTCACAGGCTGTAAATGTTCATTAAATTTATAAAAACTTATCCTTGACAAAAATCTAGGCCGTAGAAGGAGAGTCGTTGCACAATTTTTTGAAACCTCGGACGCCGATGTTTATCTTTAATTAGAAACCTATGAAATACCAGAAGATCAGTTTAACACTAATGTTCTATGCCTGATGCATTCCATAAATATGAAGGAGTGTTCTTGTGACTGACAGACGAACGCGTATATAATTTTCAAGGTACACACGCTGGGAAATAAGTGAAATCTAATACAATATGCTGGTTCTCAGAAGTGATATTGGAACGAAAGCTAAATTATTATCCCTCGAAGTGGGATTGTAGGACACTGGCTTAGCATATAAACGAAAAATGGCATTATTGAAGTACCTAAAAAATTCCATTACATGGAATATTCACTCAACTCATCGTCATCAGGATAATATAAACTGTTTGCTAAGTATAGTTATGAGTATTGACGATTTGGTATTATCCGCAGGTTGAGATAATAAACTAAGCATTGCTCACAGTTTAGCTTAGCCAGCGTCAAAGTAATATTACAGATATCTTCAAAGCAAATACATCATAGGTCTGTGTACAAAACGTTTCTTAAAATTTAATATTTAACTATGCAGATTTAGCAATACATCTCTTGGGTTCTTCGTGATAAAGTAGGGGTCGCGATGAACTAGTTGCGGAACGGAATTTTTACTTGTTCGTATTTCTTTCTTATTTTTTTTTAATTTCTTAAATCAAATCAGTGGTTTTATCCGAGAAGTAAAACATATCCAGATACACAACATATTTTGTGTCCTTTTCTAAATTATTATTTTATTTTAGCGGTTGTTAATGTAATAAAAAGCCAATCTAAAAAGCATTTATTAGTTTGGTTTATTGATTATCGAATTAAAGTAATAAAAATATATTTAATACTTCTTATAGAACATTATATGTAACAGAGATTATTATCACATTCACTCATTATAACATTTCTCGATATATAGTGGTTTGGATATTATGCGAATGATTTTTAAACCCACAAGTAAATAGCGGGGGAAAAAAACACTTGAAACCTCCAAATAAACAAACCTAATAACAAAATGAGTCAAATTAACCTTGATAAAACTTGCTATTCTTTTTTAAATTAATATGAGGACAAAAAGGTTGAGCAGAATTCCTTAAGGGTAGAGCACATTTTCAAACCAATAGCCACTGGAGGTCTTGTCCACTTGAAAGTCAAATATACATTTCGTTAAATCACGCACTTATCTGCAAACAAAAATTTTAATTGCCAAAAAATAATTTTTGTTGAAAATGATTAAGGTCAAATAAAAACTGGAATTATTGAAAATGTATCTTTTAATTGATCTTAAAATGCCTGAATTTACAATATGAGAATAAAGAGTATATATCTATGCACATGTAGAGTGCATAATAATGCATGCATACACATATTATAAGGCATTTTCATGCACAGTTTGTTTCTGTTTTATTATATGCACGTTACGCAGTCACCCTGTGTATAAATAATTTTTTATTATCTATTTAATATTCTGTACTTACTTTTTGGGTTGCTTTTTACTACTACAAGTCAGTGATTGTAGTGAGGAAAAATAGCTTGCGAAGTTTACTAAATGTATTAAGTATAAAATTTCTTCATTCTATATAAATGTTCACTTCTTTTTTAATGTGGTTAGTACTTCATTTTCCATGTAACATGTCTTGAATTATATTATCACACCCCATGTTTTAATGATGAAGTAGTATAAAAACCTTTCACTTTTATTTCTTAAGTGTAAATAAAAGAATTTGTATACTAACTACAAAACGGTGATTAATTTTTTTTCTATCAATAACGAACCAAAATCTTGCTTGTAACTAGTATATATTCAATGAAATAATGTTTATGTATATAAAGACTTTTTATTATTTCCCAATAACTCAATGAGGTCTTTCTTGCACGTGAGCGAAAGCTTTAATTATAAGATGCTTAAGAAGGAGCTAGAAAAATGCGTTTAAATTCACTGAAGTAGCATTTTTAATTTTTTCTAATGTCTGTACAATTAACATAATATACTATAATTATTGTAAAGCTTCGAATCTGAGTTAATTCTCTGATATTTGAACAGCAGATTCTGGCCTATGATTTCAGAATCAAACGTTTATGAATTATACATTCCAAACATTTTATAATACTACGTATTTAATTTAACGAAGCAATTAAATTAAGAGAGTTCTAGATTTGCTTCCGGGGAAGCAATTTCCTGGAAAATTAGGAAATATTTTAAATCTCGCCAGGGAAAGATTGCACGTGCTGCAGGAAACTTAAATTACAACAGCACAACGAAGTATATCAAACCATAAAACAAAAGTTCAGCGTCTTTCTTCCTAGCCGGCCAAACAATGGCGTTCAGTTACAGAATTCATTGACCTACATTCGGGGCTAGATGCATAAACCAGCGACGTTTGCCAGAACAATGACGTTGCGTCCCAAAACCTGTTGAAGGAAGTCCTGAACCTAGATATTTTCTATGCTACTGGACACGCTTCAGTGCCCTTTAACCGCCTACGTCATCATAAATAGGATTTCTTGTATTTTGATGCTTTTGTTAATAATCGATGACCTACATCTTCATTTAAGACAGTTTACCATTCGCTTTTTAAATAAATATTGTATTGTTAGATAACTACAAAAACAGATACGCCACGAGTGCGAAACTTGCAGCAAATAAAAACAGATTTCAACTATTCTGTCTGAGATCTGTCGTTCGTATTATAAACTTGAACTAAATGATGAATATCGCAGTTATTTTTAGCCCAAAGGGACGTTAGCCCAGGAGGACTATTAGTCTCGAAACGGAATTTTGCGTCGGTTCACTATAATTTGAAAAACATCAAATACAGGCAAAATTATAAAAATGGGCAATTTTGAGTTTAAATATGAAAAGAAAAAGGAAATTTCTTATCAAAGTAAATGACAAAAGTGAGAATTTGCATTACATTTAACTCAGATATACATATTGCTAATAAATGCAACATTTTGGTCTTCCAAGAATTATAGTTACTTATTAACGGCAGACATTAACGTCTTCGTTCTAGTCATTTACTAAATGCAAATAGATCTCCAACAATTTATAATCTATGAAATCACCTGAACGTTGGTTTTACACGGCTAAAAGCAATATAATTGTGCTAATTCCTGATATTTTACTTCATAGAATTTGAAAATTTAGAAGATTGGTTACTGTTTTATGCAAATAAGTCATAATATAGGATTTTGGTATTTAAAATACTTTATTGTGACTTACTAAAATACTTAATTCAATGCTGTTGTTGTCGAGTCCATATTTCATGGAATATTAGTTGCCAAAGCCACAAAGATGTTGGACTTCTACTTCCATACCAATTTTGAGGAGAGCACACTGAGAGTAGTCCAGGGGTCTCCCACATCTCTTCCCTGCCACCAATCCACATAAAAGGACTTTCATCTCGCCATATATTTAGAGTGTCATCGTACCGCACCGACATTATACATTTACAAACATCCATGCCTTCTCCGGGATTCGAGCCCGAACTCTTAGGTACCGCAGTAGGCATCCCTAACCATTATACCGTCTGGGCGGCACCTCATTATATATACACTCTACTTTTTAAGCGGTGAAATCCGATATGGTTGATCTAAATGCTCAACTTACGTGTTAGGAGCTGCTGCGCTTGATAAAGTTATAAAGCAATTTCTTAAACTAAGTATTTCCTATTTCTACTTACTTATAACTACTTACTAAGTATTTCCTATTTCTACTCATTTAAATAACTTGAGGTTAATTAAGTTAAATGATTTCATGTCCTTAAAAAATTAAACATTATTTAAATAAACTTTTCGACTCTGCAAGCAACACAATTTATGAATGCATTCATTTAGCTTTTTCATGTCAGTTGGAGAAATCATTAGACATTGGAAAAAGTTTCACATAACCATTTCCATTTTTTTAAAATAATTTATATTTTAGTTTATTCTGACTACATGTCTAATTTTGTCTTACGAAGTGTCTGAAATTTTATTTTGAAATGCTTTAACTATTGCAAACGTGCAGCTATATTTCTTAGAAGATTGTTAAACATATTTATAGCTTCTTGTCTTTGGAATGTTTTATATTCATAACTTCTCATTTTTAATTATTAAAACTGATTACTTTTTGCTAAGATTAATAATAAAAAAAATTGTAAAAAGTATATTAAATCACGTTTTTGCAGCTGATGACACCTTTCGGCAACTTCAGCACTGATCCCAAAGTTGTTCATCTGATGGGTGAACGAATGGTGATGTCCTGCATATCCGCTGTTAAGCAATCCAAGAAGTCCAAGAGCAAAAAGGATAAAGCAGCCAATAAGTGTAAGTAATTTTTCTCCTTTTGTACGCATAATAACTCTAATTTGGAAATTCTAAATCATTTTAAAAGAAAAATTAGAGTTAATAACGTTAAATAATTTCTCTTGAAATGATTGATCTCTTAAGTCTCGATGACCATTATTTTCGACATAAATAACTCTCTTGAATTCCCATAAAAAAACATGATTGTTTGTGCTGGTCCTTTCTTTCTCTTAAGAGTACAGTATTTACTTATTTACCTATATTGGTTAAATTATTCAGCCTTTTTATTTTAACACCTCAGAGCAACGATCAGAATAATTTTTGTTGTGACTTATGCCACTTGTCTGACAGTAACATTGGAACAAGCCCGCAAAATTCATCGTGGCAGGAAATGCAAGATTGCGCCTGTCTTCGGTAAGAGCCTTGAGCACCATACAGGTGATTGTACGACTTTGCTCAGTTCCGACACCCATTTTGATGGAGAGCACCCCGGGATAGCACACTTCGTTTCACTGGCATTAGCACTTTTGGACTTGCAGATAAGCAGACATATTTTATTGAACTTGCAGATATTTTACCGAAATCCACTTGGGGAATAATGTTCCATTCCGGACTTCAGGCATCTGTCGGACTCAACTGTAATAAAGGCAAACTCAGAAGTAACTGACCAGCAGGCATTTTGGGGGCGTAAAAGCGTTGATCCATAATGAATAGGAAATTGGAAGCGAACACAGATTAAATCTTCATTTTTTATTTCAGCAATCATGTTGCGGCCACAAACAAGTTGGTACATTAAATGTGCCTACCCCAAAATGTTTACGTTTTAGATAAATTTGCAGCAAGATAGCAGGAGCAAACAGACTAGGCCAAAGCGTACAAAGCAAGTGCGTTATGTTCAGGGTGAAATCTTAATTCAGATTGAGTTAGTTTTGGTTCTCAATGCATTTTGATTGGATAGTTCATATTGCTGTAAAATTACTATTGACTGTTAGAGTTTAGTTTTTACATAACCAGAATTATGTAAGAGTCATACGACATGGATTAATCTAGAAATGACGCAGTACAGAGAGAGGTTACTATTTTTTAGAATAGAGAAGGGAAATTAATTTACGCTGCTAATTTAATCTTTTACATATATGTATCCATACCTACACTGTCACCAGGCTCTGTGAGTTCAGTTTTTTTATTCTTATGTGCTGGTAAATTGTGCATATTTGCTTTAAAAGTAACTGAATTATGTCATTCTTATGTTTCGTTAGGTTTTTATGCCTTTAGTTAATCTGCATGCAATAGTAAAATTATCAACAATTTAAAAGTTGTTTAGGTGGTACTAAGCCTAACGCTGCCATTTGTTTGCATCTAAAACTAGTGAATTAAGTCTTCACGCACCAACTTCAGTACTTCAATGTCTTTTTGCCGAGTGGGACTAAATGTAAACTTTCAATTTTGTGTACCGAAAAATATGACTTCATGCCCTCATTCCAAAGTGCTTGTTCTTGCGTAGAAATTCTAATTTTAATTTGTAAAAATTCTTTAACTGTTTTAAAATGTATTTGGTAATTTATGTTTTTCTGTATTTTACAATTTTTAATGAATATGTTCTAAGTTTTTGTGTATTTTTCCTTGCCGGGAAGTGAGAACTAAATTAATTAAATGAGTACTATATCCCTAATTAAATTCGAGGAAATAAATGCAGTAAAAATTGTGTATATTTTAATAGGCCGTACAAAGAATGTGGTGTCCACATCAGATTTTTTTTATTAAATAAATGCACAGGTCTCAATGTAATGTTAATTTACAACGAAATATTATCAAACATTTTTTTCTTACCATTTTTGTCTTTGTGATTTTTAACAGCTCATTATATATAAATAATTTTATGATTTATACCTAAATTTCTGGTAAATTAAATTTTAACTTGTAGTATATCATAACTCAGTGGCTTAAAATTGTTTCAGGTTTTAAATCAAAATCTGCATATCAAGATCAGATTTCAAATTCTTTTTATTTTATGATTTTTAAACTTTTAAATTTTTAAATACATTTCAAAATCTTAAAATTAAACACTGCGAACTGTTATATAAGCTTAAATTTTCAGATTAAAATTTCTCTCTATTTTTTTTAATCTTTTAAAACCACTTCTGAAAATTTTAGTAAAACCTATATTTTTAGAGCCACAAATTTTATATTTACAAATTTATTTTAAAGTTAGTTGGTATCTTTTGAGAAGTGGTTGTTATGCAGAAATATTATGACATTTCTCATTTTATATTTCAGTGGCAAGTCTTCTTCCTCGTCCAAGAAGATCGACAAAAGAAATGTGCTCTTGTAACTGTGACTGTTGAGTTACTGTAAACAGGAATATCAATAATTCCTGAGAACTTTTGAAAACATCTATCACTTTTACTTGATGAAGTGTTTGCACTTGAAACATCGAGAATATTATTCCTTGTTCGTACTTAATGTAATACTACATCGTGATTTCCATTAACATTTCGTATGTACAAGTTATTTTAGCGGGATTCAGAAGCCTAATTTTTTAGTTGTCACTATCAGTTTAGTACACTGTATAATATTGTCATTTTACTTTATTATATTAAGAAGGAATTTTTTATTACGGTGAGTAATTTATATCGAACATTTTCTGGTCAGACCATTCTTGATATGAAATGTTTAATGATTACCTTTCTTTCACAGAGTAAGATATATCAGTTAAATGTGTTGACACCATGAATTAGATCAACGATTGTAAATAATGGATAATGTGTTATTGCGAGAATGCATCAATCATAAGTTATACCAGCACAAGTAAATGCAATATATATGATCAAAATCATTTGTATAGTATTCTGTTCAATGTATTGGAATAAAACTTAAACTCTGTGAATTGTCTTGCTTATTATACATTGTTAATATTACTTGAACGCTAATATCCAAACTGAATCATTTGGCTCATTCAGATGCTTGCTGTAAATTCAGTCGATTTAGATGGAAAAGCAGCAAATAATTTAGACGTAAACAAATCCCTATAATATATTTATTCTGTTCTTAAAAAACTCAGAATGCTGGCAATCCGTATTTCCTCAAAACAATGAACTAGTAAAGAAAATATGACTGGATTTCAAAGTTTAAAAGAATTACACTGCTATTTTAAAAATTCAAGAAATATGTTAATTAAAAACACCAATAATTGATCTCGGCTATCGTATATTTTATGTTACATAATAGATGTTGATTGCGCCCTTCTTTTCTTCTTCACTGCTAAGCATCATTCAAGATTAGACTAAATCAGCGATTCTCAACCGGTGGTACTCGTGCCACTGGTGGTACGCAAGAGAAAAATAGGTGGTACGCAAGGAAACAAGGCATTTTTAACTATTAAATTCAAAAATTAAATACCCTGACATCCTGTTTAAGTTTTTCTCTAACACTTTGTAAATTTATGCGTAAAAAGTTTTGTTCAAGATCAATATCCGCACATATACTTTAGCAAAAATTATCCGTTTTTATTTTCACAAATATTCTTTTAGCCAGGGGTTCTCAACCGGTGGTACGTAAGAGATAAATAGGTGGTACCTAAAGAAGCAAAGTATTTTTAACTCTTAAATTCAAAAATTAAAACCCCAACATTCTGGCTGAGTGTTTTATCTAACACTCGTAAATTTATGCGATCTGAACTTTGTTCGAGAGTGGTGGTGGTAGTAGAACTTCGTAGTGGTGGTACTAAAGGTTTTCAATGTTTGTTTAGATGGTACGCGTTAGTCAAAAGGTTGAGAACCGTTGCTTTTAGCCACAGACATAACAAAATTTATCATAAATGGTGTTTTTGAAACGAGCAATAGAAATGGATGTTGTATTTAATAGGAAATAAAAATATGTTCCTATAAAATAACAGTATCTTATTAATTTTTTTAGAGTTGATCGATTTATTAGCATGTCTATATTTCATATCGCCACTATTTCTGGGCTCATATTACTCTATTTTCAATTAGAATCACTTTTCTTACATTGATTTGATATTTTTAACAGCAGTTTATCTTGTCTTTTGCTACTTTGCATTCCTTACTTTTCTACGTGAACGGAGAATAATGTCATTTGTTTTTGAAGAATTATTGTGCAGTAATATATTGTGCATTTAAATATTTGTGAAAACAAACGTAGATTTTCAAAATGCAAAATTGTCTAGGATTGACTAAGCAGAAAAGTGATGATTTACAAGTGATGGATCCAAGACAATTTACTAGCACTAAGAATACTGAAAAGAAAAGAAAAATTGTTTATAGAAAATGTAATGAAAGTTATTTATCATTTGGGTTTACTTAGAATTGAGATGAAATTGGACCCTCAGTTTCAATGTGTTGTTTACGGTGAACTATTATCCAGTCAAAGTATGAAGCCATCGTTTCTTAAAAGACATCATGACGCCAGACATCATCATCACATCATGACGCCAGACATCAGACATCATCATCATATCATCTTTAAGTCATAATCTTAAAAGACGCCAACTTAAAGGATAAATCTGATGTATGTTTTAAGAGTAAATTATCGGAGTTCAAAAATAGTAAACAAGTAATGAAGGTTTCGTTACTTCAAATGAAAACGTTTTGGAAATTAGTTACCTAGTAAGCCTAAGAATTGGCAACACTGGGCAGGCTCACACTACTGGAGAGAACTTATATTACCAGCAGCTAGAGATATCGTTCTAACATTATTTAACGAAAAAGTGTCTAAAGAATATAATATACTATTCCTTTGTTAAATGATACAGTAAGCTGACGAATTCCATGAAATGGCAAATTCCATTGAGACACTTATTCCAAAAAAAAAAAAAAAAAAAAAAGTAACTCTCGTTGAATATTGGACGAAAGTACTGATACAACGTACTTTGTTCAATTATATACGTTTCGAAGAAGAAAAAGAATTGCCGAGTATTTATTTTGTAAATCTCCTCATGATAGAGCAACTGCCAATGAAAAGTTTCAAAGTAATTGACAATTTTATGTCAAAGAATGATATTCCTTGGAATAAGTGCACTGCAGTATGCAGTGAAAGAGCTCGGGCTTTAATAGGAAAACTTTCCGAGACTATTTCTCAAATAAAGAAAGTCGCATTTGAAGCTAAATTTACTCACTGCTCCATATCGGCAGACAAAGCAATGCCCGAAAACCTAAAAATCGTTTTGAATCCAGCTGTAAAAATTTTTAATTTTATTTAAAGCCGACCTTTAAATTCAGGAATATTTACAATTTTATGCCAAGAGATGGGCGGTGAACATGAAACGCTTTTGTTACATTCCGAAATAAGGTAGTTATCCAGGGGCAAAGTTTTAAATCGCCTTTCTGAACTTTAATCAAAAACCTGAATTCCAAAATTGTTTATTTAGTGAACTATGGTTAGCGCGTTTAACAGATTCAGCTGGTTATTTTGGAAAGTTAAATAAATAAAATTTAGGATTATAAGGACAAAGTGTTATTTTGTTTACCATCTATCTATACATATAAAGAAGAAAGTCTGTGTCTTTGTCTTCTAATAACTCAGTCACTACTATAGCTATCGTCGCCAAACTTTCTACGATTCTTTTCTGGGTCCTGGAAAAGGTCGATGTCCACCTTTTAAAAAACAAATTGGTAAAATCAGAGATGTAAGTTAAAAACTCGGCGAAACGATAATTTTTGCCCTTAATTTTCCTTGTGGCAACAGTCTCGCAAGCTGGAGATGAAAATCTGATTTATTTCGAACGTTGTTGCCACTGCTCGCTTTTAAATTCTAGAGTTTGTTAATAAAAAAATTCGTTTGTTTTACGATGAAATAAAAATAGCATTGCGAAAATTTAAATACATTACTCCCAATTCCAAAAATTCGTGGGAAGCAATTTCGACTGCCTACGACTTTAATCAGCCGAGATATTAATTAAGAACTCCGAAAACATTCATTTTCGCAGTCATTTTTCCGAGTAGCAACAGTCTCGCGTGTTGGAGATAAAAAGCTTTATTTCAAAAAGTGTTGCTACAACTCGCTTTCAAATAGTAGAGTTTTTTAATAAAAAATTTATAAGTTTTACAAATTCTATACATATAAGGAAGAATGTCTATTTGTGTGTTTGTTTACGTTATTGAGTTTTGATTAATTATGATAAATTTGTTGCCACATTTAATCGACCAAAATTGAATATACGTGAAGTATTGGATGGCATTTGAGCTTTTACGACCATTTGATTAGAAAGACGAAAATCATTCAAAACTGTGTGCCATTGTTGCTAATATAATGAAAGATAATTAATTTATTTTTCTATCGAATTTTTTTTTTTTTTTTTTTTTTTTTTTTTTGTGGTTTCCATATCGCATCAGACTGAAAAATGTTTGATTATGAATGGTATTTTTTCCATCGTTATTAGAGAAGGATTACTTATTGAAAGCATTACTCTCAATCTAACTTGACTGTCATCGGGTACTTCCGCTAGTTAGAGTTAAAATAAATGCAATGATAAAAAAACCTCCAACTAATAATCAAATAATTGGATAATAATATTTTAAGCTTTTTACCACTTTTAGAAAGTCTTCCATTCGGAAATAATTTGAAAATATAAAAGTATTAGCATTTGACTTTAAAAATCATTGTTTTTCATTGATAAATAATTTCAAAATGTATTTTCCCGAGGATTATGAATAACAAAATTGGATTAGAACGTTTCATTTTATTCAAATGTACCTTGAATTTTATCTCGTGAAGAAATGATAGAAATATCATACGATCGAACTCTAACTGAAGATTTCAAATCAACAAATTTGCTAACTTTCGGGCTGAACCGAAAAAAATAATTAATAGGCATTTCAAATAAAATTATTAAAATTATTGCCTTTTTGCAAAACCTACTTGCGTGAACAAGAACTTTCTTCCATATTATATTTGAAAAATAAATACAGAGCAAAATTAAAAGTGAATTCTAATTTACGGTTAAAACTATGTGAAATATGACCAGACATAAAGGAATTGATCTCTCTTGAGCAGTTTTAAATTTCACACGCCGTGTGAAATAAAGGGTTACCTTTACCCTTTATTTCACACAATATGCAGGTGCTCTTGCACTACGGAATACAAAGACCAACACTTTTGGTCTAAAATGTAAAAAATAAGAAATATTCACTTAATAACTAACTTAATTAAATAAGAACTAAACTTAAATGCTTCACAGAGACTATTAACGCGAAGATTGGCCTTTTGACAGTGCGTATGTAGTGAGCTAGATGCAAATATCACAATACGCCTATTATATCAGCAGGAATTAAGTTCTGGCCTAAAGACAGACAGGAACTGACTGAAAAGCACGCGCGTAGCAGAGTAGCAAGAAGGCTCTCTTTCTCTCTTATTAGATGCTTTCATGCTTGGTCGGTATGCTGGCTTGCAGCAGTTGATAGTGATTCCTACTCTTGTCAGTTATTGAAAGAGTCCCATTAGGGCCTTACTTGTGATACAACCGTAAAGAATATTCTCCAAGAAAGATAAGTACCTGACGGGGCCTCTGTCTTTTGGCTAGAAGCCACTTCTTAAATACCTTTTACAGTTTGCAAACTCATTAGCATAAAAATTCTACTCGCTCTTATTATGGCCGGAAATGGAAAACAAGAGAGGATAGCAAAGTTTAAAATAAAATGAACGTTAGTAAAACTTAAAATCCTTATAAAGTTTTATAACTTAAATTTTGATAAATAAAATGCTAACCAATTATTAATCTAATATTTTTATGCATGCATATTTAATACAATATATATATATATATATATATGTCATAATAAAAGCACAAGGAAAAGCCGGAGCAGTGTCGATGCGTGATTAGACCCATATTGAAGAAGAAATTTGATTGCGTAGTCTTTAAAGAACTTGGCAGTCGAGGCAGTTTTAATTCCACTTTTATTTCCAATTGACATATTTGTGGCCACAATCACTTGGCACTCTAGTCGTGCCTTTCCACAGAAGATTTACATTTTTGATATTGTTGGGATAGAAAACAAGCCAGCGAAATTACGTCTTAGCACAGTAGAGAGCAAAAGCTGAAGTGCGTCGTTATGAAAGATGGAAGCACGCGAAGAGAAAAGTTTTGGTTTACAATTCGGTGATTGGTCGTCAAGAGGCATCTGGTATTAACGGTTACGTAAGATCGCATGATTAATTTGAATGACGCAATGCAGATAAGTTATTACGATTTTAGAATAGAGAGGAAGAATTAATGTTTATAGTTATATTATAATTCTGATTCATACATTTTTATCTTACATATATATATATATATATATATATTTAATATTTCTATTGAGAAATTGAAAAATAATCATTGTAAAATGTACTGGTGGTACTAAAGGTTTTTAATTTTTGTTTAGACGGTACGCGTTAGTCAAAAGGTTGAGAACCGCTGGACTAGGTTATCTGCATATGGCAAAGCACACGAGGGCTGCCAGCTAAAGCTGAAATAAATTATTACTTGGTATCAGTGAAGTTCTCATTTGAATTTTTTGCTTCTTTCAAAATAAGGGTCTGTACTTGGAAATCACAATTACAATAATTAAGCTTTGTGCTCTTGTAAGACTTCAAAAAGTAAGATTTTAAATTTTAGGGCTTTTAAATGTTCTGTCATCTTTGTTGTAATCATATTAATATTTCTTGATCTATAATTAAGTTCATTACAACACGATCACATAGCACATCCTTTATTCTAAACCAACAACAACTGACAATTACTTCACTTCAGTTCGACCAGCAACAACTAAACTAATGTGCAACTAGTGTGTTGCCACATATATGTAACAATCTTCTGATTATTTTCCTTTAACACAAATTTCATTCCCACTAATCTACTTACCTATTTCATCAGCGTTTCCTCTTCTACCACTAATTCTTAAACATTTTCAAGATTCATGTCATCAGAAACCTTACCTTCTGAGAAATGTATCAGATTTTACAAATTCACCGATTCTGTGTTCTGCCTGTTCGATTAGTTTCATCTGGCTTTTGCAATAGACACAGTCTAGACATTTTTTGGAAAAATTCTCAGCTCTCATCAAATTTCGAATCCATTTTCTGATTAAGGAACTGATATGCTGACTAACAGGGTCGGATTAAGACATTTAGAAGTCCTAAGCAATTAAATGATTTTGGTGCCTCTTCAAAATCTCACGCCTGTTTTCCCCCATTCCTTCTATTTCTATCTTAGTTTACCTATATTATACATTCCATAATAAAAATTTGTATGGTGTTTTCCTTTTCCTGAATCTGCAAAGATTTATTTATTTTTATCTAACCAGTTATTTTATGTTTAGTAACTTTACTGTCATTCGCCCTTTCCGATTTTCTTCCAGAATGCTAATTTTTAGATAGCGCGTATTCAAATGAGGTAGAAAGAGATAGCATTTAAAGGTAGGTTTTAGATTAATTAGAGCGTGTTCTGCCTGCTGAAGGCCACGCTACTAGTTGAATTTATGCTATAGAAATCTGTCGTCGACGTTGTTTTATTCTAGTTAATAGCGCTTGTCACGCCGGTATAGGTTTGAGGCAACTTACGCGTTATTCATTTCTGCGTATCTTTTGGCTAACTTAAGATTTAATCTAGTTTTAATTTGAATTCATTAATTTTTTAGTTACGCCCATAAAGCTGGCTCGTTTTGTAAACGCAAGACCATGCTTATCCATTTCCAGTTGGGAAGACAGATGTCATGTAAGGGTGCAACCGATCCGCAATTATGTCCAAATAATCCGCAGCTTTCATGGTCTGCTCTACTACAACTAATGGTCCCAGGGCCGCCCATGAGAACGCCCCCCCCAAAGCATAATACAGCCACGACTAGCTGGTGTACGACCTGCTGTATAGGTGGGAGCAACTGTTCGCCTGGAAGACGGCATATCCTGGCACGACCATCAACGTGATGAACGAGAAATCGTGATTCGTCTGACCTGGCAACTGTCTTCCCTTTATCAATGGTCCAGTCTGGATGTTCCCGAGCACACTATAGGCGTAGTTGAGAATGACGTTTGGTCAACAGAGGCACACGAGGGGAATGTCTCCCATATCCAACAGTGTGCTCTGAATAGTGTGTTCCGAAACACTTGCACTTGGACCTGCATTATATTAGGCTGTCAGCTGAGCCACTGTCTAGCGCCGATTTTGCTGTACCAAGTGGAGTTCGACGTCTTTTTTTCTATGAGGACGAGTGGACGTCCAACACCTTGGTGTCTCCTGCTGGTTTCACGCCATTTATCCACTTTGCAACGGCAGATCGTGAACAACCTACCAGTCGTGCAATTTCGGAGATACTCGTTCCAAGTCTTTGGGCTATTACAATCTGCCCTCTATCAAATTCGCTTAGTTCAGCAGCCTTTCCCTTTACTTGCGAAAGTAAGTAAAAGAATGATTCCTTCTCCAGCCTTCTAGTTAAATACCATTCCCACTTAATCCCGTGCCCTCTAGGTTGTCCAGACTAGTTCAATGGAAAATCTGGAGATGGTCATTATGTTTTGGTTCGTCAGTCTAAGATATTTTCTCCATCCTTTCCGTATGCCTTCCTGGTGTAATTGGAACCGTATTCGACGCATATTCGAGAGGTTCAGGGTTCGAGTCCCGGCGAGGGCAAACCACAATTTTTCACGTCTCCTGCTTAAAAAGAACCTGTAAACAATAGTACCAATTTCCTTTAAAAGTCCTATACGAACCTACTTCATTCGTGGGCAGCTCTTAAGTTATTTGGCATTATCAAATAATTCAATCAAGGTCTTTTTCTTAATCAAAATAATATTACTATAACCTGCAACTCATTTTGTTGCAGGTCTTAATGCTGCAATGTAGAATCCCTACATCACAGCAATAGACACTTGCTACTGAAAATCAAACCAAGAACTATTTCATCAACAAAAGAATGATCTCCATTGCACTACTGAAATAAACAGACCATCTTAATTTAGGTTTTAAATTTTTTTGTATACTAAATAACCAGATAAAACAAAGCTATCTTACCTAAAGCTTAAAAAGATTTTTTTTTAAAGCATAATATATGTTAACGTAAATCATTAAACTCTGTAACAGCCTCTCATACATTTTCTTTGGAATTTTCAGATGAAATTAATTTTAAAGTAAATTCTCACATTTTTACAATTGCCTACATTCATCAGCAACAGCATGTCACAAAATTTTGCAAGACACACTGCTAGCAATTTTAAATTTACTTAGTTTTAGCTATGCAAATTGTCAGTAGTACTGAATAAACAAAAGGAAAATATAGTGTGCTTTTAATGGTATTTTAAATGTTTAAATATTTAAATTTTCCAAAGAAACAAAAAATTACAATGCAAAATATTTTATTAAAAATAAGTTTTCAGCAACATTACAGTATGAATCTGATACTTTGACGCTTATGCAATTTCAGAACCTTCTCGAAACATGCGCATTTCTCTTGCCAAGTTCCTTGCCTTTTCAGTTGCCAAGAAATTATACACAATTTAAATGTAAATAATCATACATAATTAAATGTCAATAATCATACGCAATAAATAAAAATACGAATAATAAATTTCTTTGTATTTGTGCGCATTGTGCTGTAAATAAGGAATAAATAACCTCTAATAATTTATGTCACTTTGCTGTGCTAAATTATCAAATCCTTTTACTGATGATGTATCAACACTTTTTTTCGAATTGATGGCTTGAAGTTCTAATTTATCCGTCTTGAAGCAACAATTCCTGAATCTCTGGTAACAATAGATAACAAACAACGGAATGGGTGTTATGATGGATCCAGCCACTGGCACTACGGATGCCATTTCTGATACTGGTGGCTTTAACGTGTAACTTAATAAAACAAAAGCTATGCCACTATTCTGTATACCTGTCTCCACAGCAACGGCTACCATGTCAGTGGTTGGAAAACGAAACACCATGGAAGCAAGCGCACCAGCTATGAAGCCAGTCCACACGCTCAGACTTGCAGCGATTACCATTTGCCAAGTCAGCATGTAAAACATATAAGAATTAGCAACGGATGCCAGAATTATGATGCCAATGATCATGATAATGCAGATGGGTGCCAGGATCTTCTTGGATCGTGATGCCACCTTCGGGAAATATCTCTGTATTAGTAGACCCAAGCCAATAGGGATAGTGAGAGATGCTAATGATATTAAGATGTTGGAGTACGGGATCACGATGTTAGTTCCTTCCAGAATTGTCTTTCCCAACGTGAACAGCCATAGTGGAATGGTAGCTGTAATATAAAGAACACGAAAATTACACTTGGCATTCAAACAGCATTGCAGTTGTTGCAACTCTGAGGGCTACAACGTGCAGGTTACAAATTAAATAATCACAGCAGGGATTATTAATATAAATATTTAATATGGATATCTCACACAAGCTGAAAACGTTACATTACTCTATCAAATGCATACATATAGCTGAGTGAAAAAGGGGATTTCCCCGCTTAGTTCGCAGTTAAAGAAAAAAAAAATAAGAATAATAAAAATAGTCCAATCAAATGCGGCGCTCTTTCTGTCGACTTTGCACAGCCGTTACGTAATCGTCTGTCTGCAGCAGCTGTCTCCAACAGCAGTGTACACTTACGCCGTTTCACCACATTGTATTGTCATTTACAAAAAGTGTACACACAAAATTTGAATTTAATAACTTATCAGGAAATAGTTTTAAATTTGATGACAAAAAATTTGACCATAGCGACAAACACCGTGAGTGAGCTGAATAGAAGTTTATAAAAATGCATAAAGTTACGTTTGATTTTAAACCAATCATCATCATCATACTTATGTACAAAAGCTTAACTGAAACATAAAACAGCTCACTTTTAATGATAAATAGCCAGCGAACTTATCATTGCTTAAGTGTTTTAACAGCGAAGAGCAGTTGAAAAAGAAAAAAATTATAATCTGTTAATGTAATAATCTCTCATTCTAACAGATTCCTTTTTACTCAATCTGTTAATGTAATAATCTCTCATTCTAACAGTTTCCTTTTTACTTCCTTGTACGAAGTAAAAAGGAAGTATTATAATCGCGAAAAGTTTCAGGCATCATATTTTAACGCAAATATCCCTTTTCACCGCTATCAAATGCAATTTAACGATGTTTTTTGCTTGATACCTGTACGTAAAGACAGATTCTTACGTACAGATCTTTTTCCAAAAAAAAAATTGTAAAACTAATTTAAAATAAATTCTGAAGAGAATTTTTCGTGGCGTTTGTGCGTAGATACTTCCGTATCTCGCATAACTCACGAGTAGCCTCAGAATGTTACAATTTTGTATATAAGACTGCTATAACATGTAGATGTGCACCTCGTATTTTGGTTGCAATCGGCCACCAAAAGTACATAGATATATGTACATATATATATATCCACTCTGTTACTCGGCTCAGTGATCTCAGTTTCTTTATTCATATATGTTTGTAAACTGCACATTTTTAGCTTTAAAAATGATTGAATTGTGCTGTTCTTATCTTCCGGTTACGGTTTTTATGCCTTTAGTAAATCTGTATTCAATATTTTTAGAATTATGAACAATTTAAAAGTTGTTTAAGCGCCGCTAAGCCTAATATTTTTTTTTTTTGATGGCGGCCATTGCTTGTTTACATTTCAAACAACATAATAGTAGATTTGTTGCCAATCTAGGGAAAGTAAGCTTCGCAGTAACAAATATAACGCCTTCTTTTATTATTGCGAATGAAATGATGCTTAATACATGCTGGAATTTTTTCGAGGAAATAAGTGTTTAAGATTTACTTCATAATTTTCAATACAGACATTTTGAGTTTTTATTGTATTTTTGCCATGTCGCAAAGTGAGAATTGAATTAATTGAATGAGAAATACTGAATCGTCTGTGAAAAACTGTTTCTTTCTTTTTCTTTTTTGTTTATTGTTCTTTTTTAATTTTTTTTTATACATCGTTTTAGATTTATTATAGTATTTGAATAGAGAACATGTCGCGATGATTAGATAATTCTTAAGATGATATAAATTTTGTGCATTCTAAGTTAAAAAAATGATTGAAATGTAGCGCTGTTAAATGATAAATACATGTGGTAACTATTAGATAATTCTATTCTTTAAATGATATAAATTTTGTGCATTCTGAGTTATAATATGAACGAAATATAATACTGTTAAGTGAATCTAGCGCCAGAATATCGCTATGGTAAACAAATAAAGTGAATTTTAAAAAGTGCATTTATTCTATTGTGATTTATGCGCTATCGTCGAAATAGATTTAATTCAATACAATAAGTTTAAATGAAATGCAAGAAAAATGCGTATAATTTAATATTCCGTACAAGGAAGTCATGTGGTGCACACATCAGATTTTTTTAAGTGTAAATGAAATGAAGGGCTGAACACGAACGTGTTTACACGATGATAAATACTAAAATATAAAATTTAAAAAAATAGAATCTGAAATTTTTCAGATTTTAAATGTCCAAAGGGGCGTTTTCTTAACGTTTCGTATGTTAACTTTATTTATTAAATATTATGTTCTTTGCACTTAAACCACATTCAACAGCAACATATTAAAATATTTAAAAAACAGCATGTCTTTAGACTTTCCGATACACAGCCTCATGAGCTGGAGATAAAGATGCTTTCTTCCACACAGTGTTGCCATTGCTCGCTTTGGAATCGTTGAGTTTTTTAATCCAAAAGTCGTTAAAGTTTTACAAAATTTGAAATAGATAATAAAACAAATTCGAAGTTCAAAATTCGGTCTTCCAAGTCCCCATGTTCGGTTGGAGGACTATGCGATTCAAAATTTGATAGCTCTAGGTACGGATGTTCTTTTACAATCCGAGAAACATACATACATCCATGCAGATTCTTCATTATTTAATTTTTTTAAATATAATACAGTGCGATAATATTTGTTTGCAACAATTTAAAAAGTGATTCGCCGTTATAGTGAAATGGCACAAAATGCCGTTTTGAGACTAATAGCCCTTTTAGGCTTAAAAAAAAAAAAAAAAAAAAAAAAAAAATCTATTCTAGAGCAAGCATTCTGCTTGCTCTAGAGGCTTTTGCTAGTCGAAAAATACAACATACAAAAATACCCTTTACCAGCTGCTTATTAGCCCAAAGGGGCAATTTGCCCAGAAGGGCTATTAATTTCGATTCGGCATTTTGCGTTGATTCACTATACGGTGAAACACTTTTTAAATTGTTGCCACCAAATATTAGAACCCTGTATTATATTTAAAGAAATTAAATAATGAAGAATCTGCATAAACGTATGTATGTTTTTTGCATTGTGATAAAACAAGGGTACCTAGACCCATCAAATTTTGAATAACGTACGTCTCCACTGATAGGTTTTAGGAACAAACAATAGATGCATATTTTAGATTTTCCAAATAAGCTGAATATCGGTGCTTCTATTCTGAGTCGTGCGGTCAGCTATGATAATAGTTATTTATGCTTATATTTTTATTTTAGCCTTACTGGAACTCATTAATTTGTTTACCTAGTTCAGGGACAGCAACACAAAAAACTATTGATTGTATCTAATTTCGTCGAGCAGTTCCACATTTACATTGAGCAATTTCATATTTAATGAAAATTAAGGTTTTTTAAGTCTTTTCTTAATTTATGCATAATAATAGATAAAGAAATCCTTAGGGGCATATATAAATAGTACTTAACTTTGTTCTAATAACTCTCAGAACTCCTTTACAATTTTCTCCTTTACAAAAGACGCAAACATTTACAATTAACATTATCAACACAATCTTTCCCCGAGGAAACTAATACCCAAAATCACTATAAACAAAAATGAAAAACCATTCTGCAATGCTGATGAAGAGTCTTTTCGGAAAACTGAAGGTTATCGTCTGGCAGCTATTTCAAAAATAATGTTATTTCGTCTGGCTGTCGAATTACATGTCGTCTGCTAACGTAATTGTATCGATTTCTCAAGTAACAGTATTTTTATCTTCATTGATTCTTTTTCTTACTGATAATGGCTATGTTAGCAAAAACTTTTCATCTGTTATGTTGCAACTAAAACCATAACGAATAAAAGTTTTCTTTATTCAGAGAGAAGGAAACAAAAGTTTTCCATTTCTCTGTTTCTAAATTCAATTTTTAATAAAGCAAAACTACCTTAAACCAAACGATTTTCGTTAAGACTTTGGATTATGTTATACATAAGGTAAAAAACTTATTTCTAGTTCAATGTATTTAATTAGAAAATTATTTTTTTACCATCTTCAAAAATAAACAAACCAGTTTTCTAGTACACTTATTTAGTATCAGACAAAATAAATTTAAATAATTAACATTAGCGATTGGAAGACTGTCATAGCTCATTTCTATGATTCATTGGAATAACGCAACGAAGAAAACTGAAAATATGAATAGACTGTAATAATATCGTATTGCTGAAATATGAGATGATTTTTTTATTACTAACTGTCGATATGAAAACAATCATCCATATGATATAAGCAACCTAATTAAAATAAATCTGAAAGATTTCAGATTTTATATTACAGCCTGAGAGACTTTTTTTTAACTTTTTGTGTGTTAACCTTATTTATTAAATATCACGTTTATTGCACTTAAAACATAAAATTCAATACAACAGCAATATCACAAAATATTTAAAAGAGCATACGTTTAGAATTTCCGATACACAGTCTCACACACTGGAGATAAAAATGTTTTTTTTTTTTTTTTCCCGTACTGTGTTTCCATTGCTCGCTTGGAAATCGCTGAGTTTCTGAATCAAAAACTCATAAACGCTTTACAAAATATGAGAGATAATAAAACAAATTCCGAATACCAAATTTGGGCTTCCAGATGACCATATTCGGGTGGAGACGTACGTTATTCAAAATTTGATGGCTCTAGAAACCGTTGTTCTACCACAATGCGAGAAACATGCATACACTTATGCAGATTCCTGATTATTTAATTTATTTAAATATAATACTGTGCGCTAATATCTGGTGGCAACAATTTGAAAAGTGATTCAAACTTTTAAAGTTTTCCACCTAAAATGACAAAAAGAAATTAATAGCCCTTCTGGGCTAATTATATTTGAGAAACATGACACGAATTCAGTTATCCTTTTAGCACCACTGATTGTTCCAAGATCTATTAGTCTCGAAGTGGGAGTTTGCGTCCTTTCATTATGAAGAGGGAATCTCTTTTTAAAATGTTGCCACCAAATATTTTTGCCCTGTATTATCTTTAAAGAAATTAA